AAGTAGCTTATATGCTGTATGCTGGGAAATCTCTGTCCTTCAGTGAAGAAGAGGGAAAATTGTACTTCTTGAAAAACTCAATTCTCTTTGGCTTCACAGTAAACCCTAGGGAATTGCTAAGCTCTACCAATGAGCTGTATCACCAGTTCGCAGATGTGGGGCTTTCGTAGAATGGTAACATTTCCAGAGAACGAAAAAAGTGGGCAGTTTGATGAGGTTTTTAACTTTCTATGTTATTAAATAAGGAAACAAATTTTTAATTCTATCTACTGCCAACATCATTTTGTTAAAGAAAGGACATTCTCTTACCAAGAAAAAGCAAAGAAGAAAAAAAAAGAGAAATCCTCTTCGAGTAAAAGAGTTCTGTCAATTTAAGAAATTTAGTTTTTTTAATGTTCTATTATCAACTGGTGAAAATTTCAGGGCAGCATTTGGTAAACTTTCTGTAAAGCCACCACCAGACTATTTTGGAAGTATGGAAGCTTAGGGTAATTGTGGCCTTCTGAAGTAATTCCTAAGAATACAGACGAAGCTTCGGAACACCATGCAAAGTGAGAGCAGTGTTAGGTTTGCGTAATTCACTCAGTTTTTAGCTTGGGGGCAAAAGACAATCGAAACAGATATTTTATCCAAACTTTAAATTTTAACTTCCATGGATTCATATCAGTTTGAAGATTAAGTAAATTCGTTATTGATATCAATTATCACTAGTATAATTTTATATAAAATAAAAAGCCTGTATTTTTAAAATTACTCAAAATATGCAACATTAAAAGTAAAACTTGGTCACTGCAAATTGCATCACCTTTAAGGTTTTTAAAAAGATGCTATTTAGTCCAGCTTCTTGTCCTTCAGCAAACAAGATTGCACTGCCATTTTCAGATGAGGCCGCAGAGGACCAGAGAGAATATCAGATTTACCTGAAGGTTCTGAATCCTGATTGTTACAATTCAAACATTTCTTTATCTGGAGTACTGGTCACTCTTAATTTCCAAATTACAGGAGAAAATCAAAATAAATTCCCAGACACAGATAAGATACCCACCCACCTCACCCCCTCCACTGCCCACCCTCCCTACCCTCACAAAAGAAAACCTGGTAAGTTGAAGTGAATAGCCCAAATTCTCACTAATAGCATTTAAGGTCTTAAAGAGCTATATGATACATAATTGTAATTGTACAAAGGACTATAAAAGCAGGTTTTTTAACTGGGTTATTATTGGCTATGTTATTTCTATTACTTAGGGGGATAGGCTTAATTTCCCAAATCAAATTGCTTCGCATTTCTTCTAAGCAATTTTTTTATACCCTTAGAGGAAATAATGCGTCTACTTTCAATTCAGAAAATTAAGACATTTTTATTCCATTCTTTTTTTGTTGCCAAGCAACACATGAGGAGTACTCTTAAAGAACTGTAAATTTTATAGTGATACTCTACACAGAAGGATGGATATGATACAAGATCTTTAAAAACAAAGTCAATGATAGAAATAGTAACAAATAGAAATAAATGCTAGAAAAATGTCAATTAAGCATTTTTCCAAAAAAAATCTAACTTACTAAATTTTAGAAGTGTTTCTTGGATTAAGGGATACTGAAGAAGCAGTATACTAAAAATTGAGATGCAATATCAGAATTGTAGATGCTTGTAATTGGGTAGAACGTTCTATAATGAAAATCCATGGTCATATATAGGGTAGAAGTTATCAGAAGTTCACTATGAAAAAAGTCATGATTCTGTTGTGAAGATTTTCAAACATACAAGAAGTAGAAAAAAATCACGTAATGAACTCCCATATTCCCATCACCCAGATGCAACAGTTTACAAGATCTTGCCACACTTTATCTTTTTCTCCTTTGTTATACTATGTAAAAGTAACTCACAGGTCATTTTACCTTTACCTAGTTGGTGTCTCTAAAAAATAAATTACCACAATGACATCATATTGATCAAAATTAAAAATAAATCTTTTGTCACCGTCATATACACAGACCAGAAGTCACAGTTACTAGATTGATTCACAGATGTCTATAGTTGATGTATTCTAATGAGGACCCAGATAAGATCCACTTATTACAAATGATTGTTATTTTCTTTAGATTTTTTTTTAATTACTATTAATCCTGGATGATAAATTAGCTAGTTTAAAATTCTAGATTGATAAAATTTTACCCCAGCACTTTGACATTACTCCCTTATCTTCTGGTCTCTGTTCCCACTAGTAAGAATTTAATGTCAGTTCAATATAGGTAGTTGTTTTCCCTTGAGAGCTCTTAAGCTAGTCTCTGTGTTATTGATGTCACTCAGTTTCTCTGTTGTATGTATAAGCATTGCTTTATCTTTACCCTACTTCATTCTCAAGTGCACTTTTAATTTGAGGACTCATGTCTTTCTTCAGTTATGGAAAATTATCTGTTATCTCTTCAAATACTGCTGCTGTTCCTTCATCTGGCTTCTTTTTATTCAGCTCAGTTTTGTTAGAATATCTAAACCTGTCCTCCATACCTTTTAATTTTGCTTTAATTTATTTTTATCTATCTCCACCAGTCCCTGCTGTGTGCCTGTGTCCTCAAGAGCCAGTGGAGTCTTGTCCATAAACTCTCACCACACACTTTTGTTCAACAGGCAGCATAGGGAAGGACAGTTTATCATCTAACCATTGAGAAGGGTCCAGATTTCCCTTAGATTAGATCACCTTTTGGATTTCTATAAAATAATCATTTAGGACACTATGTAGTAGGTTAAAAGTTGTTGACCTATATGTACTGATATGGAAGAATTGCTAGGATATGTTAAGTTAAAAAGCAAATACGAATAGTGCATTCAGAAGACTTTATATACACCTAAACACACACACACACACGCACAATATGTGTGTGCGTGTGTGTGTGTGTGTATATATATATGTAAACATATAAACTTTAATTTATATGCATATTAGTGAATTGCAAAATTTAGAGGCAGCTGTCAGGTTTAGAGGTCACACTGTCCTATAGAAGACCACCCTCACTTGATACCTTCTGCAAATTTAGGGGTCTCCATACTACCCTCATGGTCAGTAATTCCCAGGAAATGTCCACAGAGCTCACTGAAAGCTGTTACACTCATGGTTATGGTTTATTACAGGGAAATGCTGTAGACCAGAACCAGCCAAAGGAAGAAACACACGGGGCAGCGCCTGGGAGGGTCCCATTTCCTCAAGATACATCAGCATTCTGGCAGTGATGTGTGACAATATGCACTGGATATTGCCAACTAGGGAGTCTCGCACATGCTCAGCTGCTGAGTTTTGACTGGGGCTTTACCACTTAGGTATGATGGATTGATTGCCCATATGGATGAAGTCAGTCTCCAGATCTACTGACAGCATGTGACCCATAGCTCCTACCTCAACTAACAAGGGTTCTGGCTTGGCCAGCGCCTACCCTAACACTGTGGTGGCCAGCTCTACTTCAAGATCCAGTTTGGTCAGCTCCTACCCTAAACAAAGACCCTCCTATTGGGTTACAGAATTTGTCTCCTGGAAGTCAGGGCCAGACCTCTCATAGACAAGACCAGTGTCTTCACTGTTACATATGTAAGGATTATAAGTATATTTTAAGAATTGAAAGAGCATATGTCTAACTGAGGACAGTAGTTGCCTCTGGAACGAGAATTGGTTTGAGTTGTAGTCAAGGGGTACTTAGCTCTGTGTATGTTTAAATTTTCATTTATTGTATAATTTTTAAATTAGTTTTAAGTGGAAATACTGAACTTAGACTAACTCGGAAAATAGAAAAAGAGGTCAAATTCAACAGAATGAAATTCATTATATCCAGAATCAAAAAGAGAAGCTCTCAGCCATCCTACTGTTCTGAAAAAGATGAGAATAAACCATCTGTTTCAAGATAGCATGAAATGACTGACCCTGGTCGTTGTCTGGGCATGACTTTGAAATAGCTGTCAGGTTTAAAAAAAAACATTCTCAGGCATGGACAAGCAGAAGGTACTCTGTTTGAAGAAACTATGCTTTATGTATAGTAACGTTTAGTATCCTCATCAGTTGCTTCACAAGTTTTAGAATCCAGTAGGTAATCCTTGGCTCTTTGAAAATAAGATTGTATAAATATGAGCATTTGTTAAATCTCTATTTGCGTACATGGATGTTACTCTCCCTGTTTTTTTAATTATTATTTATACTAGTCTTAGATCATTAAACTCTAGGGTGATTTATGACTGCTCAGGAAGGTGGGTATTCTTGCTGTGCCTTTTTCTCCATGTCCTGGGTTCCCAATCTAAGAGGATGACTTTCCAAGACGGAGGAGAATCACCTCCATCAAGTGTACAGAAACACTTTGTTCCTTTCCTAGACTGCCAGTAACTATGAAGAAAATAGAGATGGTTTAGAAGAGAGTTGCAGCATTCTAAATGTTTGGACTTTTTTAGAGTGGAGAAAAGCATTTTGGGTGACAGTTTAATAGTGATTTTCGTGGGTATGAGGTTTTCATCTCAAAAGGAATAACCAGACAGTTTGGCAGGCGGGAGGTTTGGGGATTGGGAAGCACTCGTTTTTGTTGAGTACCTGCTATAAAATGTGCTGAGAGCTTCTTACCGGTTATCTCATTTTCATCTCTTGGCCATTTATATGGCTGGCCTCACCTCCCTCTCTTAAATGGGAAACCCAGGGCTCTCTGGGAAAAACAGTCTGCAGTGTCATCAGCAGTACTGCTAGAAGTATGCGTTACGAAGTGTAGCGTGCATTATTTAGGTTGTAAGGAGAAGTGTTTACTAATGGTGAAAACTCTTCAGCATCGCGGTTGCTCACCTAGGAAAATTTAGCCGCCACTTCTCCTCCTCCAGAAGTACTGGGTTTATTTTTGTGATGCTTTAAGAACGTTTCTGCCCAAAGGCAGAGGATACAGACCCATGAGCTTGCAAAGTTTCTTCTCAGTCTTAATGATACTGTAATTTGCTGTTTTTACGACCTCAAACATGTTCTCCTATATTTCCTTTTCTCAAGGTGGATAATATAAACGCGGCTATGGCGGACTTGAAAGCAAAGAAGATTCGTATTCTAAGTGAAGAGGCCAAAATAGGAGCACATGGAAAACCAGTGATTTTTCTCCATCCTAAAGACTGTGGTGGAGTCCTTGTGGAATTGGAGCAAGCTTGATTTATGTTTGCCAGAAACTGAATTAATTGACCTGAAAAATGCCTTATCAGAATGTCAAAATGTACTTTGGCGTTGAGTCCTTCACTGCTTCCATCACTTAGAAGTTCAAAGTTGAAACTAAATTACAGAAAGAAATTTCTTAAATTATATATATATGTATATATATATATATATATATATATATATAATTATTTTGCAAATGTTTTGTGTGTCTATATGTATATACAATATATATACATATATTCATCAAGTATATAGAAACACATTTACTCCTTTCCTAGACTACACATATATATACACACACACAAAATATTTGCAGATCACTTTGGATTTTCTTCTTGATTTGGAGAAAACTTTGATAAATACTTAGGGACTATTATTAAATCATATCCTCTCAATTATATGACTATTATTAAAATCATATTCGTAGAAATAAATTATTCCTGTTCTAAAATGGGGTAATTGAGAACAGTGTGTTAGCCGTGTGTGTGTGTGTGTGTGTTAGGATGGATGTCCAGAGGAGTTAGGAAAGGACCCCTGACAGCTGCATGGCTACATGTCTGGGACAGAATGATTTCTGAGGATGTTATGGAGAGTTTTTAGAGCAAACTGTTTAAGGTTAGGGAATTCTGACATCAAAATTTTCGCTCTTCTGGAACAACTCATGTTCACAAGTTCCTTATGGGCCAGTATTTTGGGCACTAGGCCTAGATGTATGAATAGGAAGTTTTGTGGAAAACGTGGTACCTGATCTAGCAGGTGCATAGGTAGATGATTTTTTTTTAAATCAGGAAATATGGAAAGAGCAGTGAATTTGTAGAGTTGCCTATCAGGTGCTAGAAAACATGACAGGTCCTAGAGGAGTGTACAAAGTGAACAGAAACCCATTGCCAAGAAACTTATGGTCCAGTTGGGAAAACTACTTCACGAAATGAATGTGCTTATAAAACAACATGAATGAGTTGAAAGGAAAAGGAAAGGGAAAGGAACACAGCTCTCAGAGAAAGCACTTGGAGGCATAAGAGGTTTCTGGTCAGACTCCCAAAGAGAAAGTAGTATCAGATGAATTTCAAGCATCACGGATGGATGTATGGAACGCATAGTACGGAAAAAGTGGTTAGTCTTAAGTTCACAGATGATTGGATGTTGAATAAATAGCTAGGTGTGTGTACACGTTGAGCTCGTTACTGTGGAAGACAAGTATAACAGTTATATTTGTCATTTAAATGTTAAAATCAAAAATTGTTCTCAGTGTTTGTAGAGGTAATATTTAAGACAACTGTATCACAGCGGGTGGCGGGGATAAAGGGATTTAAATGGCATTTAAGTATCAACATTCCACTTGAACAGATAAATGCTAATATAACAAGTAGACTGTGATAAACTTCATGTGTATATTGAAGTCCCTGGAGTTAATCATTGAATATACTAGACAAAGAGACACACTCATAAATGTAGATAAATCAAAATGGAAGCTGAAGAATGCACTTATGACCCACTTGAAGACAGATAAGGGGAAACAGGAGAAAAACAAAAAGTAAAATGACAGGCTCACATCCTAACGTATCAGTGACTACATTACATCTGGTTGGACTTAAATTCCATCACCCTTGCCAGTGATTGGTTCACAGTGTGTGACCTGTATCTGGACAAAGAGTGTGAATAAATGTTTCCTAGACGTTTCCAGGAATGTTCTTTCCCACTTTTAGGTGAGAGCCGTGAATGTCAGTCTCTCTGTGTCCAGATGTGAACAAGCAAACGGTTGGTTTCCAGTTGCTGCAAGCAACCATCTACCGACTATGAAAAAACATGTAGATAAGGATGATGCTGGTTGGCAGAGCAGAGAGACAGAAAACTGTTTTCAGTGACATCTTAAAAGGAATTACTATTGAATAAGAAGTTGAATCTATTATAATGGTGGGGTTTTTTTTAATTAAGAAAAGAACTTTCTCCCCATTTTTTAATTGAAGTATAGTTGATTTGCAATGTTGTGTTAGTTTCTGGTGTAGAGCATAGCAATTCAGTTATATACATATATTCTATTTATTCTTTTTCATTATAGGTTACTACAGATATTGAATATAGTTCCCTGTGCTATACAGTAGGACCTTGTTGTTTATCTGTTCTGTACATAATAGTTTGTATCTGCCAATCCCAAACTTCCAGTTTACCTCTTCCCACCCCCCCCCCGCCTGCCTGGTAACCATAAGTTTGAGGAAAAACCACTATTTTCACTGAAAACTTATTTCTGAAAAATAAAAATAATTACCCACTACATCCGCATAATTTTTTAAAAGCTTCATATAGCTTTTACAAACATTAAAAGCAAAGCAAACTAATTACTCTTGTTACTTATTGATGTATTTTAGTGAGTGCCTTAACCATATCTATCTGTAATACCTGATTATTGCATTTGTCTGAAAAAGGCAATTTTAATATAATATTTTAAAACATAATTGCATAAGTTTTCATCAAAATTATAATTTAGAGTTTATAGGTTAGAAATTGTTGACATACACAGTTGACTCTTATGTGTGGAACATACATTTTTTTCCTTTTAAATAGTCATTATTTTTTTAGAGCAGTTTCAAGTTCACAGCAATATTGAGCAGAAAGCACAGAGTTCCCATATAACCCCTGCCACACAAATGTGTATATAGCTTCCCCCACGGTCAGCATCGACACAAGAATGGTGCATTTATTACAGCCGATGAACTTACAGACGAATCCTTGTCACCCAACATTCACAATTTTCGTTAGGGTTCACTCTTGGTGTTACACATTCTATGGGTTTTGACAAATGCAAAGTGACATGTATCCATCATTATGGCATTTACAGAGTAGTTTTGCTACCCTACAGATGCTCTGTTTATATATTCATCTTTCCTGGCAACCACTGATCTCTCTACTGTCTCTGTATTTTGCCTTTTCCAGAATGTTGTATAATTGGAATCAGATAGTAGTAGTTAGCCTCTGTAGGCTGGCTTCTTTCACTTGATGGCTTGTTTCTTTTTAGAGCTGAATAATGTTCCATCACTGGATGTACCACAGTTTACCCATTCATCTACAGAAGGACATCTTGGTTGCTTCCATTTTTCGGCAATTATGAATAAAGCCTCTCTAAACATAGTGTGTGGTTTTTTTGTGTGTGGACATATTTTTCAGCTCATTTGGGTAAATACCAAGGAGCATGATTGCAGGATCTTACAGTGGAAGTATTGTTAGTTTTGTCAGAAATCACCTGTCTATCAAAGCAGCTGTATGTACCATTTTGCATTCCCAGCAATGAAGGACAGTTCCTGTTACGTTACATCCTTGCCAGTATTTGATGTTGCCAGTATTCTGGATTTTGGCCATTTTCATGAGTGTATAGTGATAGATTGTTGTCTTAATTTGCATTGCCCTGAGGACAAAGGATGTGGAGCATCTTTTCATGTGCTAATTTTCCACCTGTATCTGTTCTGTTGGTAAGGGGCCAGTCATGCCTTTTTCCCATTTTTACACTGGGTTTTTGCTATTGTTGAGTTTAAACTGTTCTTTGTATATTTTGAAACAACAGTCCTTTATGTCTTTAGGTTTATCCTTTCTGTCTTTTGCTAATATTTCCTTCCACTCTGTGGCTTGTCTTCTCATTTTCTTGACATTGTCTTTCACAGAGCAAGTTTTTAATTTTTATAAAGTCAAGCTTATCAATTCTTTTTTTTCCCCCCATCGATCATGCCTTTGGTGTTGTATTTTAAAAGTCACCACTATGACCAGGGTCATTTAAGTGTTCTTCTATGTTATCTTCTAGGAATTATACAGTTCTTCATTTTACATTTTCGTCTATAATTTATTTTGAGTTAATTTTTGTGAAGGCTGCAAAATCTGTCTATATTCTTTTTTTGCATGTCAATACACAGTTGTTCCAACATCCATTGTTGACAAGATTACCTTTGCTTCATTGTATTGCCTTTACTCCATCAAAAATCAGTTGACTGTCTATATGTGGGTCTACTTCTGAGGTCTGTAGTCTGTATCATCGATTTGTCTGTTTTTTCACCAGTTCCACACTGTCATGAGTACTGTCATTTTATAGTGAATCTTGAAGTCACGTAGCATCAGTTCTGATTTTTTTCTCCTTCAGTATTGAGTTCTCTATTCCGAGTCTTTTGCCGCAACATATAAACTTTAAAATCCCTTTGTTGGTTTCCACAAAATAGCTTGCTTCAATTTTGACTGGGATTCTATTGAATCTATAGATCAAGTTGGATAGAACTGACATCTTGAGGCTATTTTTTCCTATCCATGAATATGGACTATGTCTCCATTTATTAAGGTCATTTTTAAATTTCTTTTCATCAGAGTTTTGTAGTTTTCTTCATATACATCTTGTACATATTCTAGATTTACACCTAAGTATTTCATTTGGGGAGGTACTAATGTTAATGCATTTTTAATTTCAAATTCTACTTGTTCATTGTGCTATAGCAGAGCAATTGACTTTTAAATATTAACCTCGTATATGGCAACCTTGCTGTAATCACTTAGTAGCTCTGGGAGGGTTTTTTGAGCAATTCTTTTGGATTTTATACATAGATGATTATATCATCTATACATAGATGGTTTTACTTCTTTCTTCCCAATCTGTATACCTTTTATTTCCTTTTCTTATATAATTGCATAATTGGAACTTCCAAAACAGAGTTGAAAAGGAATGGTGAGAGGGGACATCCTTGCCTCATTCCTGATCTTAGCAGGAAAGCTTTAAGTTTCTAACCATTAAGTGTGATGTGAGTGGTAGGTTTTTTGGTAAATGTGTTTTTACCTGCTCTATTCCTAGAGTGCTAAGATTTTTTATTATTATTATTATTATTATTATTATGGATGGGTGAAAGCTCTCCAGAGAAACAGAACCAAAAGGATATGACACACACACACACATATATATATATATATGTATATATCAGATACATGTAAGTAAGAGGAGATTTATTATGGAAATTGGCTCATGTGGTTATGGAGGCCAAGAAGTACCAAGGTCTGCCGTCTGCAAGGTGGAGAACTAGGAAAGACTGGTGCAATTCAGTCTAAGTCCCAAGGCCTGAGAGCTGGGAGGCTAGTGCTGTAAGCCCCAATCTGAGTCTAAGAGTTCAAGAACCAGGAGTGTGGATGTCTGAGGGCAGGAGGAGATGGACATCTCAGCTCAAGCAGAGAGTGAATTTGTCCTTCCTCCACCTTTTTGTTCTATTTGGGCCTTCAGACTATTGGATGAGATGATGCTCACCCACATTGGGAGGGCTTTCTGCTTTGCTCAGTCACCAATTCAAATACTTACCTCTTCTAGAAGCACCCTCACAGACACACTCAGAAATAATGTTTTACCAGCTAACTGGGCATCCCTTAGCCCAATCACCTTGATGCACAAAATTAGTCATCTTAATGGGTGTTGGATTTT